AGGGATGATTTTGTGATTGTCCTTTTGGCAGGTATGGTATTTTGTAATACTTAAATTTTGTCGTGAAATTGTTTTATGATTTGTGTGTTGTAACTTAGCAGACTTTATTCAATACACCATATTACTTTCTATGATTTCTCATGTAGGCATTAAAAAAAAAAACATACAAAAAGCCCAAACAGAAATTATCCAATAGGATAACTATAATGTCTCTCAAGGAAAGAAAAGCAATAAAGGGAAGAAACCTACATGTTTAAGACACTGTGGAATGTTGAAAGCACATGTTAAGATTCCTATGAATGCAAAAACAGCAGCATTCGCAACCATAAATTTTGATATGTCTTACAATCTTTTATTTTCCATGGTAGAGGAGCACTCAACATTACACAGATACTTCAAAGTTTCTCTGTAGGAACATAATACAATGTAACTTGAAAGTTAGTAGTAAGCATTTCTATTCCCATGTAGTCTTCATACTTCCCCACTCCATCCCTCATCATGTCACTGTCCTAACTGGGCAAGACTTTCTAATTACTATTCACTAAAATATTTTCCCTTTCCCTTTTTTGAATTTAATGCTTTATCATTTATTTAGCTACAACATTATTAGAATTTCTAATATGTATTAGAATACATATTAGAATTTCCCCTTTTTTTGATTCCTAGACATGTTTTCTGTATTAAAACAAAGTATGTCATAATTGCTTACTTTTCACATCAATTCACAGGAAGTTTATGAGAGAGCTACTATGTGCAAGAAACTTGCTGAAGAGAGGGTGGCATTTGGCAGTGGTTATGGACATATAAGGGATGTCATTCTCCAATTCTATGGGCATTGGAACCTGCATATCCTTCAATTGCTTCCTTCTTAATGAAACCCTTTCCACAATTTCATAGCCAAAATTTGTTATACATCTACACCATTTCAAGAGGTTACTATATATCTATATATCATTGATCATTTTGCTTTTCCCTATTAAATTTTGTGATTAATTAAACCCATTAGATCTGTGTTGTAGCGGTTCAGTTTAAATTACTTAACATGAAGTAATATTAAAAATTCAGTTCTTTACTTCTACAAGTCACATTTCAGTTGTTCAATAGCCACACATAGCTCATGGCTACTATGTAGAACAGCACTGATTTAGACCATGTCCACCATCACAGAAAGTTCACAGAAAAGTGTTGCACTAAATTATTCACTTCCTGAAGGCAAGGAGCTTCATAATTTAAATTAATAAGATTAAAATTGATAAAATATTAATTGTGAAAGATGTAAATCTTAGTGGTGCTGTGGGAAAAGAAGCAACATCACCATTTTTTGGCAGATAGACACAGAATTTCACATTAAAGTGGACTCTTGTATTTCAGAAGATTGCGTTAAATACTAAAGAAAGGCACTCATATTTTCTGAATAAAGGTAATAGGGACACAAAACAACTATAAAGACTACATATAACGTATGCCACAAATTTTAACAAAAGTAAATAGAGTAAAGGAAGTGGATAAAGAAATCATATTCGATTTTTGTCCATCAATTCAAATATTCATAATACCGAATATACATTTGTTTTTAAAATTCTTTAGAAAGTCTATTTTAATGGACTTGAAATATAATTTTAAAGAAATATATTCAAAGAACAAATATTCTGAGAATTCTGGGGAATTCTTCACTAGTACCAGAGAAATGGGCACTTTTATTTTTTACTGAGACAATAAAAAAGTAAGTTACTGCAATCAATTGAGCTTAAAAAAATAAAATTATTAGTTTCATAGAAACATATTACCTCCTTTTCTAAACTTGTAAGTATGTAGAACCATGAGATTTTTCTTTCAATGGAGTCATTGGTCTTCAATTTGAGGATATTTTCCATAAAGTAGAATAGTTATTCTGTAACTTAATCTTTTTTTTTTTTTCGTACCAGGGATCAAACTGAAGACCTTGTGCTTGCCAGGCAAGCGCGGCGGCTCTGAGCTACATCCTAGCTCAGAATGGTTATTTTGCATGGGGAGTGGGTTTGGTATGGGGAAAGGAGTGTGAACTTTGGAATCGGACCACTTGGATTATTTGTCCCAACCTGCACTGGCAGGGTTGTATTGGTCATTTTACTAACTGCTCTACGTCTGTTCACTCAGGGTAGCAGAAGGCCACTGATCCTTACAGAGGTTTGTCATGAGGTTTATAGAAATGGTCATGGAAGCAACAAGCACCTGACTGGCTGGCCCAGTACCTGTAGTTTTCAATACTGAGCTCAAAACTTGCCAGCGTCCTTCCTAGTCCTTTATTCTCGTCACTAAGTTATGGCACAATAACTTGAGAGTTCCTGTTTGATTTTTTGATGAATGATATTTTTATCACTGTTTGTCTTTATATCTTTTCTGTCTCATCCACTTTTTTGTGATGGCAGCAATTACTAAGTAAGGAAGTGTTTAATGGGTTGTTAGGATGGAGGTAGCCTGTACTATTTATTTTGAATATAGCTTAGAATAGCACAGAATTCTCAAAATTACAGGGTCTTGTAGGTTATGGTATACTGCCTTATGTGCCAAGAGCAGCATTGTTCCTTGCCTGGCTGGGCCTGAAAAGGTGTACTGTGTTGTGACAACATTAACAGTGTAAGGATCTTGAACATGGCACAATTGTGTCTACTGAATGTTAGGATTTAGAAGGGATGGATAACATTCATTTGCCTGATGTTAAAACCCAAATTATAAGCAGCCCCCTTCCAATATGCGCGCGCGCCCTCGCGCACACACACACACACACACACACACACACACACACACATACCCCTTGTTTCCAGACTTGGTTATTTTAAAAACCTTTCTCTGATGTCTGCTTCATTAAATAATGGATTTACTTGGTATGGCATGGGTGCTTGTAGTGAGAGAGATCAGGTTTCTGAAGACCATGCCTTTACTACCACTTAGTTAATTTCTTGCCAAAGGAAAAGCTTATAGTGTTTCATCAGTGTAATGGGAATAAAAGTATTTACCTAATAGAATTAGTTTGTTTATGTGTGTGTGTGTTACCGGTGTTTAAACCTAGGTTTTTGGGGATGCTAGGTAAGCTCCAGCACTTAGCTACATTCTGAGATATTTTTTTTAATGCAGACTTGCCAAGGCTGGCCTTAAATTTGTGATCCTCTTGCCTTAGCCTCCTGAATAGCTGGAATTACAGGCATATGCCATCATGCCCTGCTTATTTTGTTTTGAAGTTTATTTGAGAAACAAATATTCTAAAAATTCCTGATATGAGGCTTTGTTAATAAGTATTAGTCTCCTTCCCTAACTTTTTCAGAGGTTTGTTGTGAGGATCCTATGTGCTAATGTCTGTATTAGGAGAGGCAAAGTATATGGAATTTGTAAAGTATATGAGACCATTATGGAAATCCTGGCTCTACCACCTATTTCACACACCCGAGGGTGCTGTTCGGTCTTTTAAAATAGTTTTTCAAATTGTAAGAAGAGAAAATAATAATTACAGGAATAAAATTCATGTAGTTTTTTTTTTACAAGGATAATGTGAATTGTATATAAAATTTGGTGAGCACTATTAAATGACTGTGGCAGCAGTCTATTACAGTTACTATCTGTGATCTGACTTATGTTAGGTTCTCTCAAGATATCTTCCAAAGTAGATTTAAATATTTTTTTTTCGGTACCGGGGTTTGAACTTGGGACCTTGTGCTTGTGAGGCGGGCGGTGGAACCACTGAACTAAATCCCTGGCTAGGTTTAAAACTTTTGAAGGGCTATGAATCAAGTTTCACTCTTCATTGAACTCCAGAGACCACCTAGAATAGTATTACATGCATTATGCCAATATTTGTTCAATTTATGGTTAGCAGAATAAAGGTCTGAAATTTTCTACCCTTCCATCTGTCAGCCACTACCCTTGGGATGGCCAACAGGCGCAACAGGTTTGGGCAAATAACTCAAAATTGAATCAAATGCATGATTTGTCCAAGTATTACATTCCAGCAATTTTATTAAATAGAACCCTGTGAATGACAAAACTCAGATTTATATAGGATCTGTTAATTTGTTTCACACCTAAGCCTGTTTCCAATGTGAGGCAGCTTACTTCCAAAGTCAGTTATTTGGCAACGTGAAGAGTAATTTGAAAATAATAGAACCTTAGCCAACCAGGAAAGAAAAAAATTAGAAATAAAAAAAGTTATTGTTTCAAAATAAAAGTTAAATTTTTTCAATGCTTTCCTAAATCTTTCTTTTTCTTCATGATTTGCTTATGCAGCAGTGGTATTCTTGATACTCTATGCAATGTGCCATTTATGAACTATCCTCAAGGTAGATTTTACTTAACCCCTTGATAGGAAATGCAAAAACACAACCCAGAATGTCTTGAAATAAGAAACACCAAGAATGAGATTTTAAGATTTTAGGTTGTCCTGCCTGATTCATTGTTTTGAGATTTTCATATGATTTTGTATATAGGAAGATTGAAAGGTAAACAGATTTAGGAGCTGATTGCTATGAATAGATTGATCATAGGAGAGACAAGGTTTTAGCTCCTGTTATTTTTATTTGTTGATTTTTCTGTACATCACCAGGCCTGTTTATTCTGCCTTAGCTTAAATAAAATGTGATCCCTGTATTTTTTCTTTTATGTTTGGAGATATAGCAAGGTAATCATCATTACAGTGTTTATTGAAGTAAAAACTTACCCATAATTGTGTAGCCTAATAGACTTGTAGTAAAGGCTGTCAACTTCACAAATACTTGAAAAGATTGCATATGTTTTTTCCTACTTTGTGTTTGTATTTATTTGGAAGGCCAGAATATTTTTTGCTTAGTCTCTTTGTGAAGAATTTATTAAAATTTTAAAGATATTTCAGTTTATCTTAAATATGAAACACCAATAACACTTATGAGATAATGCTGTTTAAAATTAGCAAGAGAAAGAGATTATTTCCTTTATTATGTCCCCTGATTTCAATCTCTTTTTCATTTCCCTGTTTGTTTCCAATTTAATTTTAGAGGGCTGCTGAAGTATCAAACCAATTTAGATACTCACCCTCCCGGCTGCATCTTTCTTAACCAAACCCACTATCAGGATGTTTCCTTACCAGAGCTTCTCTCAGAACATTTTCATGAACCTTTACCTGGAGGATTTTCAAACCCAGAAGAGCTTAACCGAAACACATTGGTGAAGATTTGTGTGGAAGAGCCCAGGTTCCAAGCTAATTTTCCACAGGTCAGATTAATTCTATATTTGATCTTTACAAAGTCTGTGATTTAGTAAGATTGATCAACATCACATTTAAACATATATTTGATGCTGTATATTCATACATAATAGGATACTTTAGAATATTTCAATATCAAATTAGTACTAGTTATTCCCTTATAGGTATCTGAAAGTTCAGGGCAAAAGATCTATTATATTTGAGAACATAGAAAATTTAAACCAGTCATATGATCTTTGCATATTATGATGGTAGTACTTACTATCAGAAAGATAACAAATACATTTTACCAAACCATTGAGAAAAGCAGCTTGAATAATAAAGTAGTACTAAAGCAATTAATACTAATTAATTAATACTACAAATTATTATATTGTAGTATAAATGTATTATATATTATATTTTTAATAATAAATTTTAAAGTTCATATATTAATACTTAATATTATCTGTTAGGCATTGTGCACTGTACTGAAGTGTTCTGTATGCATGATAATATTTTTTAATATTCACAGTGACCCTTTGAAGAAAATTGAATCAATTTTCTGATGAAGGAATTATGCTTACATATATAAAATATCTTGACCAAAACCTCTAAACTAGTAAGTGGTAGAAAGAGCATTCAACTACCAACTAAAATGCTTGCTCTTTGAAAACTTCTCTGAATTCTCAGTAAAGAGTTTACTGAAGGCTCTAATTTTCTCTTGTGGCTATTGGAACTGCTGACATGTAAATCACATCCTATACTTTAAGTATATCAAGGGAAGGTAGAGAATAATGATGTTAAATTCTGCTTTAAGAAGAGAAGAAAGAAACACCAAAAGCTAGAATAAATTTGTAGGTGACTCTGGAGTAAGTGTGCTAGTTTTATGTTTTCTATTTATAACAATCCTCTGCATACATATTAGATTTCACTATTTTCAGTGTTTATCTAAACTTCACATAATGCTGAAGGTTAGAAAAGGCAGGTCCGATGGCTCCCACTTACATGTGACCTGATAATCAGAGGGTGACTGTCCCAAAGCCCAAGCCTGCTATGTTGCAGAACTTGTCCTACAAAGCCCCCTCTACACACTGTGCCAGCTAAATGTCACTTATGTAGAAGACAGATCATGATGATCTGTTTGGGAGGAGGAAGGTCTGGAAAAACTATGTAAGTAAGGTTTTAAAAGTGACCATTAACATAAGAGTGAGTTGGAAGTCTCAAAGTGATGAGGGAGGTATAGTGTGCATTTGTTGAAGAATGGTGCCCTCGCAGGCTTCTGGATCTTCCCAGTTCAAAATTATCGCAGTATTTATATATTATTTTCTGTTCATACTATGTTATGTGAGTGTAAGTTTAAACATGTCTCTATCATATCTCACTTTAAAAAATATGTGAATATTGTGTATGGCACTATACATATACATATGTGCATTGAAAATATCTAGAGGATTATTTTTTATGAAGCTTCAAATTGGTAAACCAGTAGTCTTTTTCTCCTAAAAGCTAAAGTTTTAGCTTGCCTTTATTCCTTTACTGAAAGTCATTAAATGTACACATCATATATTTGTGTGCACAGAAGTTGAAAGAATGAATATTTACTTATTACACAGGGTGTGTGGGTTTGAGATTGGGTCTTGCCATTATTTTATCTTTTGTTTCATACTTGAGTTGTGTTTGAATGAGATTCAGTCAGTGTTCATCATTTTTTATTCGTTTTTCTGTATGTTTTGTTTTTCAAGACACAGTAAAATATTGTCGCAGGAATGTGTAAAATAAGCAATCAGGCAAGATATAGATTCCTACAACCCAAATATTTCTTGAGGTACATTTTCAAAACCTCTCCCTTAGACTTGGCTTTGGATTTCCGGACCTTTGTGCCTGTACTGTGCCGAAAGACTTTATAGGTGTATCCGGAGCAATAAGCCAGTTACCATCATCTCAGTCATTAGTCATCCATCAGATGTCATGGAAATCCGAATGGTCAAAGAAAATTTTAAAGCAAGACCTGGCCAGGTGAGTCAGTAGACAGCAATGTTTAAAATACCCTTTATCATATGACTGTCTGTAATTTTTGAAAGTTAGTAGACATAACATTATTGAAATAGTTAAGTGTATTTTTGGTCATTTAAATTTTTTTTGTTACTTTTGTAGTATATTATTCTACATTGTCCCAGCGTATCTGCATTAGAAAACCACCCATTTACCCTCACAATGGTAAGGTAATTGTTTCTTGAATTTTGAAAATTTTAGAATGTAATACATCTTTTTGTGTGTTTGTGCAAGGTGCTTTATCTCATTCTTAAAGTTGTAAAAGTCGAGGTTTTCACAATACTCTTAATGTTTAATTTATCCATCTTTTTACAAAGAAATACAGTAATATGTTCAAAACCTTTGTAACTATTCTTTATTATTTTATAACATTCTAATTCAGTAAGTTTGTTAGTCACTTTTCTGTTGTTAAGACAAAATAAAATACCTGGTATAAATGACTTAAAAGAGGAAGGATTAATTTTGACTCACAGTTTCAAAGGGTCAGTTCATGGATAGCTGGCTCCAAGGCAGAAATATCATGAGGGAAGGATATGGTAAAGGAAGCTCTTCAACCTATGGCAGCCAGGAAGCAGAAAGAAAGAAGTCTTTCGAGGTCAAGAATATACTTTTTCAGATCCCATCTCTAGTAACCCACCTCCACCAACCAGGCCCTGCTTCCTGTAGCACATTAATCTGTGAACTTATCAGTAGATTAATCCACTTATGAGTCTAGCACTCTCATAATTTAATCACCTTCAAAAGCCTCACCTCTAAACACATGAAACTTTTGGGAGATATTTTAGATCAAAACCGTTACAATAAGTAATGCATTAAATTTTTATTGTTATTGATTCAAAATATATAAATTTCTTAATTTTTTTACTTTCCCTTTTATAAGATATATGGAAATCTTAATATGTCCATAGTTTTCTTTAAAGAGATAGAATTTAAGGAAAAAGAGAATACTGTGGGTTGAGGAGGAAGAATTTAAAGATCCATGGAGTATTAGAGAAAGTACAGTCTATTATAATTGTCTCCCAGGCTATCTATGGGAAAAATAAATTTGAACAAAGTAAAATGGAATAAGTATTGAAGGTTGAGCTATTTAAAAATGGGCAACATTAAATACACTTAGTCTATGAGCATATTTAGCCTTTTTTATATTGTAAAAATAACAGGAGCCCCTTATACAAAATTCCAATAATTCACACCCATGTAAGATAAAATAGAAATTTTTAAAAATTTTCCTTGGCTCCCAATTCAAAATTTGGCATATATGCTTTTAGGGTTTAAAAATTAATTTTTCTATTTTATGAAAAAATAAAATGAAATATCATAACAAAATAAGAGAATAACAGTAGTTAATATACTTTATCATTAATCTTCAAAGCAGTTACTCAGACTACAAGACATAAACCAAAAAGATTCTTACAAAAAAAGAAACAAGCAGAAAATAACACAAAACTTTCTTTTCAACGAACTGAGATAAACTAGTAATATAAGTGGAACAAATTAGCATTTATATTGAATTATTTTTGAAGCAATGGAATATGTTCTGATATTGTTCTGTCATTGGCTCCTTTCAACAATATCTAACAGATAATTTCTCTTGCTACTATATTTATATATGGCTCATTATTTTTAATGACTACATAATATTTCACAGTAGGAAAGTACTTTAATATTGCCATTAATGGTGAATAGTTCAGTTTTATTCATTTATAACAAAGCTAAATATGAATTAAAACTGAATAGTTAAATGCAGGCATAAGAATAATAATTAGGAAAGGGGCAACAAAATAACCAAAGTCAAATGCTGAGATTTGGGGATTGGGTTTTACTCAGAATAGGAGTCATTTTCAAATTGGGTATATTGAATTAGTTCAGTTGAAGATTCTAAAAGCGGGACACATTATTTCACCTTCCATGAATTTCATTTCTGGTATAATGCTGGGATAAAAGCAGTACTTAGTCATGGTTTGTGGTGAGTTTACGTGAACTCCTTTAAGTGAGACATGCAGAACACTTTCTGGAATACTCCAAAATGTCCAATCTATATAAATAGAAGTTAATAACTCTCATAAATTTTGTTTTCAGTATGAGTTTACATCTTGAGAACGTGAACTTATGAGGAAAGCTAGGCCAAAAAATGTATAGTGATAGAACAAAAGGGACACAAAGAATCAAATGGCTAGAACAAAGTAAGAGGTCATTCAGTCAATAAGATTTCCTGAAAAAACAGTAGTTTTCCTTTATTTCCTTCAAATTTTGTAATTGTATGTAGCAAACTTGTTTCTAGATTATTAAAGAAATGTAGTTTGTCATCTAGTGAAATAGTTCTATTTTGTTGTGTGGTTGTTTGTGTGTTTTTTGAGATGGGGTTCTTACTGTGTTGCCCAGACTGGGCTCCAATCCTCTTGCCTCAGCCTCCCTAATAGCTGGGTTTACAGATATGTACCACTGTGCTTGGCTTGACAATATTCTGCTTTATCAAGGAGGATGGCAACTCTGACCTTCCACAGGGACAGGATTAAGTTATAGTTTTTTTTCTCAATAGTAATGATAAATGACTCTGGACAAACTTTCATCTGGCGTTGTGTGGGGAGCTGATGAGAGTGAAAGGGGACATACGTTGTCATCACAAACAGTGAAAACTGTGTTGCGCATATGGAATATAAAATTGGAATTGGAGAGTGCTTGGGACACTACCCTTATGGGGAGGTGAGTGGCCAGATCAGGTCTCTTATTCATCTGGAGAGTGCAGATCTCACAAGGTTAATCTTGTTCCACGAGAGAAGCAGAAAGCTCAGTGAATATATCTGATTACTAAACCATTCAGTGTGGGGTTTTTGGCCAAATTGTGTTTTCATTCTGACAGTTGCAAGATGTATTTCCATTTGTAGGCATATAGACATGTAACAAGGAAAGAACTGAAAAGGGAGAAAACAAAGTTAAGTAGCTTAAGAGATTTGGCTTAATCTTGCTGTCATAAAAATTTTATTTCAGAAATTAATCTTTACTTGTGCTCAATATTGTATTTTGCAAATTGTTTTTCCACCATAACATTAAATAGTGAATATGAAATAACAGTAAAGGCAATTGCTAAATGCAAGCAGAGAGGAGAGGGTTTCTTTTTTCCCCATGAAATATTTTGCAACACCCTCAAAGTAGAGAGAATAGTATAAGCCATGGTGTACCTCTCAACCAACTTCAACAAAAACATAGAATCTACTTTCCTTTTCAGTATATGTGCTTTGAAAACTTCCACGTTCTTCTGAAACAAAAGTAAAAGAATTTTTTTTTACCTCTGGTACACACTGACCAGAGCCCTCTGGATCTAATATTCTTCGGTTATCAGGTGGCAAAATGAGAAATGCAAAATAAATTGAGTGTAGACCCAGAAGAACACTGAGCAGGCATCTCATGCGGACTGACTCTTGTTTCAGTACCACCTTGCTGAGACACATGCTCTTCCTGTAGCTGACTTGCAGCACAGAGGGTAGGGAGGATTAAAGGAGAATCAACAGAACAAAAGGAAATGGGGGTAGTTGAAAGTTGAGGAAGGAAACCAAATTATACGTGGAATACAGTTAGAGTAGTTATGTACATAGAAGGCATGAACTTTAAAATTCAGTCCCAGCTCTGTCACTTATACTAGTTCTGTGAATGTATCTCTTGATGTCTCTAAGTCTCAATTTCTTCATCTGCAAAATAGTGCTCATATATTGATCTGGTAGGAACACTGGGAATATCAGTTGAGCTTTTGAGATAGGGCATGGTAGTAGTAGCAGACATTTGAAAATCTGTCATGCAGATAAAAGATTTGATTTTCTTTCCTGCTCTGGGATCTCAAAGTATATAAATAAAACTAATACATTAAAAGTTTCGGGAAAATGAATGTTGATTCAATATAACTAAGACATCCTAATAAAAAGTCAGGAAACTACAAAAAAGCTCTCATAAGAGTGTTTGTAAGGATGCTTGTGTTAGATCAGGATTTCTCAACCTTGGCATTATTGACATATTGGATCAGATAATTCTTGGATATACTGCACATCATAGGAGGTTTAGCAGCCTCTTATCCTCTATCCAGTAAATGCAAGTAGTACCTTCTACTTGTGACTACAGATGATGTCTTCAGACATAGCCCGGTGCCCTCTGTATGTCACTATCAATTAGTCGAGAACCACTGAGCTGTAATGATAGTTGTCTAACATAGCTTAAAATGTGAATGGCTTTCTGGTGTTCTTCTTAAGTCCACTGTGAGAGGAGAGAACAGAGGAGGCAGTAGAGAATTTGGAGGATGAGGATGCTTAAGTTGCGTTCTGGGGACACCAACCCCACATCAGGAGAGCTATTCACTTTTAGCTGGTCTGCACCTGAGGATTCTGACTCCTGTGAGTGAACATTGTCATCTAAAAATATGTTTTGCTTACTCAACAGGAACCCTTTGTGGAATTCCATAATAATTAATTTGCTTATGGTGAATTCCTGAGTACTGTCACATGGTGAAAGAAAATTTGATTACTTTTCAGATTCAGAATTCTTTTTTCATTTTTACTGTCATCAATTCCCAAATATGAATTAAAGAAAAGTCAGAATAGCAATGTAAAGATCTAAGTTAATCAAGAGTTAAGATGATATGAAGATAGCTTCAAGTCCTTGACATTGTATTGAGTGAATAATTATCATTTTTTTCTATAAAAATTATAACTTGGGCTGGGGATTTAGCTCAGTGGTTTCACCGCCTGCTGCACAAGCACAAGGACCGGAGTTCAATCCCCGTTTCCAAAAAAAATAAATAAATAAAAAATAAAAAATAAAAATAAAAATTATTACTTTTCCTATACAAGCCCCAAGTGTGGTAATACAATGCGTCTGCTTTAGGAAATAAGATCTGTGTTTCTATTGGTGAGAACATCAACATTTTTCTCACCTCCCTGAAGCTCTGTTAAGGGCCCAGGGCTCTCCCTTGTCTCCTGGTAGGTGGCCTTCTACAGCACAGGGCTATTGCTCTTGGCCCAGTGAGCCCAGCTCTGAGCCTCCATGTCCAGTGCAGATTTGTGTCAGAAGATGCACATGCAGTAGAGCGTTGGGTAGAAGCAAAGAGGCTGGAGGCCTAAAATCAGTTACCACTACATTTCTTCTTACTCTTTACAATTAAGAGAAGAGTTTACCTTATT